ATTCGGAAAACTGTGAGATATGTGGCAAAGACAAGCCAAACTAGTCACTCGTCGTAAAAATCGATTTTGAGTTATTAATACATGGATAAGGAGTAAAATGAGAGCTTTAAAATTATTAACAATCATTCAAATTAGACATTTCCTTATGAAGTTACAAATGTTTACATATACAGCTGTTTAAAGAACAATAAATGAGAAATCGGCCTTCAAAGTTTATGATTTTGGGCATTTCTCAAGCTGAAACTTTAGTAGTTTACAGCCGCAGATCGCAGCAGAGGTTAGAGATCTTCTAATGAACCCTCCTGCAGTGGGCCGATATGACCAACATCTATCCCTACTATAACTAACACACTTTAAACCATAAAGTTTCAATTTTTTTAGTCAGTTTCAAGCACCCACCAACTAATCTTTGATTTGGACTAAAAATAATTCTTACTTATTTGGCATAAAGTTCCAGTCCATCCTGCAACACACTGGCAACTGAATGTGTTGATACCATCAGTACAGGTTCCACCATTCTCACGTTGGTTTGGATCACATTCGTTCACATTTATGTTAGTAATTACACACATTCGCACTAATTACGCAATTATCTGCTAGACTCAATCACACATTTAAGTAATTAATCCACTATTAATAATATGACCTTGCACAACTGAAAATGATATGAGGACTATTTGATAATTGAGAATTCCAAATACTTTATTTCAATTCAATTCTTTAGGCACAAACTTAATCACACGTGGCATATCCATTAAATGACAGGGGAGTAAATGGACCTGTACACCGGGGTAACCCCCTATCCTTCTCGAAGGATGCACTGGGTTCTTAGAAGTGCATAGGAGCCAAATACTTACACTGGGCCTCGGTTTAAAGTCCTTTAACCGAGAAAACATGTTCCACCACTGGAACCATTGGCGAGTGAGCCGTTTGATATTATAGCAGAAGGTTACGGTGCCCCTAACTTAACTGCTCGCCCAATCAACTCGTATTCTATGAAGTATCACTAACTTGAAGGTGATTATCACAGTAAAAGTGAAAAAAAAAATGAGGATCTACTTTATATGGGATTTTTTTTTTCTTTTTTTTTTAAACTGTCCATAAAGGTGCTATAAAGCTTTAGCCCCAGACACTTATGATCAAAATCCTTACCTGTCTGGCAGAAGAGTCCACTCCAACCTGGTGGACATTGGCACGTGTATCCATTCACACCATCAACACATACGCCGTTATTTTGACATGGGACACTTGCACATTCATTTATATATGTAATTACATGTATCGAAAATATATCAAACATTGTCATAAAAAAAGTAACACTCTGGTCTATTCATTTCTATTATCATATATTTCTTACTTAAAAATAGCATTTTAACGAGGGGACAGGGAGAATTTGCAACCCCTCCCTCAGCCCCACACAAGATTTCTCATATAGAACACTGTGATACAATGGTTTAATATTTATTAGGAATGAACAGTTATGTGATAATTATTTGGAAAATGCTAATTTATCCAGTATAAGATAGACAAACCAAGAGTATATTCACTTTAACTGTAAAACACGTTTCAAGTTTTGTACAACTTATATATTTTTGACTTACTATTTTCACACTCTGTACCAGACCAGCCTGGCGCACACTGGCAGAAGAAAGCATTAACACCATCCAAGCAAGCAGCACCATTCATGCAAGGCGAGCTAGCACACTCATTGATGTCTGAATCAAACATAAATGAAAGATTAGTTGTTTGTTTTATCGTTTTATAATGACACAAGAACTATAAACAGTAAAATTAAAGATTTTCTCTTATAATCAAAAACTCTGTTTATGGTAATTCACTCCAAACTAGTGGGAGCGGTTGGTGAAGTGATTGCCTTTCAATCTCTCAACCTTGAGGTCAGGGGTTCGAACCTTGGCTGTGCATTTCTCTTGTGTTTTATTGGAACTTACCTACATTTGTCTCTCTCCACCCAGGAGTATAAATGGGTACGCGGTTTCACTACTGGGGACGAAAAATGCGCTGGAAAGGAACTGCCACCCTACCACACAATGCTAAGGCTTGAGTACGATGTTATAACAGCTCATTCCCTTTCCTTTAATATAAATACAGGACTACCTCTACCTTAATCCCTCCACAATGACGAACATACAGTCAAGATGCTCAGCATAGACCAAATCTCATAATGAGGCCCGGAGTGGGTGGCTGTAACTTGGCAAAACGACATAACTCTATTTTTGTTAAGTGACATTGTTTTTCCTTGGAACGGCCATGAAGTTGCTTTAAATTGTGAGAAAAAATCCAGTTGCAGTGAATGGAATTAAAGTCCGATCCAAAATGTGTAAAAAAAAAAAAAAAAAATTCTTACTTGTTTCACAAAAGACTCCAGTCCAACCTACAAGACAGGTGCAGGTGAATCCGTTGATTCCATCATTACATATGCCGGCATTATTACAAGGCATGCTTGAACATTCATCAATATCTGTAGGATACATTGATAATGTTTAATTAATTTCTGACATTTGTTCATAGTGATGAGTGAATAAATGTGTATTGGGTCTACAGTTTATGAAATGAAATTTAATGTTGATATAATAAAATGATTATAGGAGTACTACTGGAGTTCAAACTCCGAAGATCTTCCACACTACCAATTACTAAGCGACACATACTTGTTATTTGCCCATATATGGGTGAATATGACGTCCCTTTTCCCATATGTGGACATATCACAAATACTTGCTGCATGAAACCTTCATAGTGTCAACAGCTTTATTAAAGGTCTGTCCACACAACCAAATTTAAGTGACAAATGTGTGTGATGTGCCAACAAGCGCATGATGATGTTACATCCAAATATGTGCATACCACATTCATCTGTCTTATTCCCTAAAAGCGGCAATCCTTCTAATATCTCCAATTATCGTCCAATCTCCTTGTGCTCCTCTGTTGGAAAGGTTCATGAGCGTATTGTTGCTGCAAGACTTTCTAACCATATTTATAATCTTGGTATTTTATCTAATTGTCAGCATGGTTTCCTTCCTGGAAGATCATGCGTTACATAAATCTCTAGAGTTTTTAATGACTGGGCATCAATTCTTGATAAGCGCAATCCTCCAAGAATTGATGTTATCTTTTTAGACTGGGCAAAAGC